GGTGATTCTTCTTTATGTTTTATTAATTCTGACTCCAAATGCTGTCTGTAATCGTGCCTGTAAAAACAACTGTATTGCTTAGTTACTAAGCATCAACAGCTGAGGAACGACATGAGTAGGATATAATTTGTACATTCCAAATCTATACAATTTTATTACAGTTAATCAGCAGTACACAACTCAGAATTTATTTTGGTTTTTTTCCTGCTTCATCTGCTTGGATGCTGATCTTACACTGGCATCGATGTGTTTAGCGTAAACAGTCTCATTGAATTCAGTTTAAAAGGTATAGATACTAAAGTTCAAATAAAGAGAATCAATAGTGACATTCCTACGAAATCAAAACAATGTATCTGGTTACATCAGATGCTATAGGACTTGATTTTTAATTCATATATGCTTAAACAAATGAGCACCTATGCAGATGAGGCTGAGATGCTGTTGGTACAACTCAGTGAGCTTCCAGGTGAGTGGATGATCTGAATCTGTTTCATCTGTGCGCCTATCTTACAGCCAAGCCTAAATACTCAACTACTTACATTTCAGATTAATTTTGAATATGTACACTGTCTTGTGGAAGATAAATGTGTGAAATACAGCTGGTTTGACTGCTTGCCAATCAGAGCAATATATTTGACTTTATTTTGACTCTCTCACATTTTGGGAACTTATTCTGAGATTTGTATTTTTTAAAAAGCAGTTAGCTTCATGTCTCTGTTAAGCTCAATTATGTATGACATTTGGAAGAAAGAACAGGAGATTAAATCAATGACAATTCATCATATTATGTCTCACTCTGACAAGCTTAATTTTAAGAATATTTGAATTTCCTATACTTGTTTCCCTGTACTTTACCCAGGATGGTGCCAGCCCTGAGTGAGGGTTGCTAATACCGTATGCCAGTCAAAAAGGGAGACTAATCTTTGTTATTTGCAAAGAAGGAGGTGGCTAACTAAGAGCATGCACCTAATCTCAGCCTAGAATAGCATGAATGTGAGAAAGTGCCTCCCCTCTCTCCTTCTAGGCTTTAGCACATGAATGGATTTGCTTTTTTTTTTTTGATATATCGAGTTCTCTGGCTACTTCAGAGGCCGAAACTAGTCAGGAAGGAGCAGAATAAAAACAGTTTTATGTTCCCACATAATGCAGCTACAACACTTATTCTGTGTCTTTGCACTTGTGGATTGGTTTTGAACATACTGTTGTAGTAATCCAGAATGTGATGAGGCCTCACACTGACTACCTCTCATTCAATAACCCCAAGCTCATATAGTACTTAATATTGATTACAGTCGAGCATCTTTTGGCCACATGATTCAGGGAGGTGGTAGTGGAGGGAATAGTAATTTAATTATATTTAATTTAATAAAGACTTTATTCCAGTGATGTATGTGGTATACACAATATCCATAATACCAGCTCCAACTGAGAGAGGTCCTGCAGCTTCTAGTAGGAAATAAAGGTGAACCTGGCTATGCTGTAGTTTATGTTGTGCTCTAAAATGTAACGAAAGATGTCATCTGTTTCCTTAAGGCTGATCTGGATTTACCAGGATATTGTGTCCAAAACACACACACATGCAATTCTAGGTACTGAGGAAACATGATGCATCTTTACCTGTTGCAATGTAATTGGATAATGCATGTACAAATGACTTGTTTAGCCTGCCAATGAATGTTGCTAATGCCTTACCAAAAAAAAAAAAAAGCATATTTTTTGTATTTTTTTCCTCAGAGGCAAATCCAAACAATGCTAGATTTGGGAAACTGTTTACTGAAAAGCATTTTCTAATAGATCTCTGAAGAAGTGCAATTGTATAATTATTATTGTTCAATGCATACAGTACATTGTCTCCATCACTCTGTACACTGCTGCTATTAGTGCTTGTTCTAATAAATCTCAATGTACACTGTTTAAACTCCTGTCATCTGTGTTCTGATTTATTAACATAAACACTTTAGAATTTGGTTCTTGAACAAACTACTTGTAACTAGTTAATTGAATTGATTATTAATTGTAAAATTCTTAATATATATTGATTTTGGAAAGGTGGGTGATAGTGGCAGCGATAGCACTGAAACAGCGGCTTCTCACAAGCATCATCCTGTTCCTTTCTAACCTTTTTCTACTGCAGGGTTATTTTTATAAAACTTCTCCCATGTGATTCTCTGTGCAGTTCCTTTAAATCTGGCAGGAGATACCAACTGCAGTCTCAAAGAAGATAATTTTCTTTTTGGCAGTTCCCGGTTTTATTCATGCTACAGCTGGTAAGAGCCTTTCTGTGTGGTATGTTCTCAAGTTTTGTGAGAGGGTGTAGAGAAAATGGCTCTTGTAGTTCTCTAATAGAATTGAATAAAGAGGTGTGGGAAAAAAATAAATTACTTGACACCCACCTCTTCTGGCATCTTGGAAAAATGCCAGTATGTGGAATTTTCCCATTCTATGTTCCTGTTCTTATTCAGCCCTTAAATCAATTGCATTTTATTTTAAATGAAAGTATAATAGAAACCAAGAATTTGTCTGGGAGGAGAAATTAAGGTTTTTATTGTTTCTTGGCACTGTAAAAAGAACAAGTGTTCAAATAGTCTGGAAGGCTGCCTGAGTGGAAGCAACAGCAAAGGAAGGGAAAGCACTTTTTTTCATGAATGGCAATGCTTGCTTTCTTGTGTCAGAGTACACATCTGATCTCGTCCAAACCAGCATTTTAAGCCAGGTTGTAGACTGGGAGCTTATTCCCTGTTAAACAATTCTATGAACAAAATTCAGATCTGGTTTCACATTTATGTAGTTGGGATCTGTACTTTGCCTCTGAATGCTGTGCGAAACAAATCTAACACTTTCTGATTACTATTTCTCATCGAAATTACTGTGCATAATTGAAGTGTGAAAAGCTATATGTCATTCCTTAAGTGATTGAAAGAAGAATTATTTGGGAATAGATGAGAGTGCAAAAGGCCTATGAGGCAATCTGACATCTTACTTAGCATAAAAAATATTTAAGTATGGTAATAATTTTTATATTTAAATTTAATCTAACCAAGAACCAGATAATACTTCTTAACCACAAACATGTAGGCGCTGTGGTGTGGTGAAGTGAGGCAGTGTGGGACGCTATTGACAAGATTTTATACTGACTCAGCTAAAGGAGTTGCCCACAAAAAGCTGTTCCAAGTTTCACTGCCAGTATAAAAATCTGTTCTGATGTGATGACACATAGCATTATTGTTCAGCCAATGTATCAAGCAACATGGTTCTCCAAGTCCTTATGAGCTTATTAAATATTTAGGTTGGTCTAAATGTTAAAAACCACAAGTATGCAATATTTACTGTTCCTGCACCTGAATCTGCAAAATTATTTTTTGCCACTAAGTAGTCATTACTAAATCAGATTAAAAGAAACTAATCTGAAATACCATTCAAAATGAATGAGGTACTGTGGACTAGCTGAGGAGGTACTCTGTAGTTTATTTTGACTGAGTGGCGAGTCTAATTTTTCTCAGGGCTAGTAAATGAAATGTCTTATATTCAGACTTTGCTTTTTATTTCTGACAGCAATGTCTAAGATATAACTATTAGACAGAGTAGCTAAGAGACAGGCTGGGTTGTATATTCCATATCTGCATCTCAAGTGTGTACTAATAATGGTAAAGCTAAAAAAGAATTCAAAGCAAGTTAACAAAGTAAGCTACAGACCTGAATCTGGTTTGAAAACCTTCTTTACCTATGATTAGATTACATTTGTAATCACATGGGAAAGTGCCAAAGTAAAACCAAATACGTAGTTGCATTTCTCACTGCTGACTATCTGGCTGTATTTCCTTCAGCAAAGAAATGAAACGAATTACTAGCTCAAATTTCATGACTCTCCAAGGTTTCCTGAGCAGGTTTTTTGACAAGTCAGCGGAGGAAAAAGTATAAGGAAACATTTCCAAAAGGTTACAGTTGTTGGACTGCAAGTAGCTATGTGTTCTGGTAAGAACATCGTGCTGTTTTCTGTTTTTAAACTGATAAAATTTAAGGTGTAGGTTGCCTTATAAGATCCTCTTTAAGTAGGTTATTTTTGAAGGCCTAGTATTACAATTAGCAGTCAAAAGAAAATAAGGTGACATAGCCCAAGGGCACATCCATTCTTTAAGAGCTGATTTCACTTAAATGCTGATCAGCTAACCTATTACACCAGTATTAGTCACTCTGCTCTTTATGTTTAGTGACAAGAATTTTTCATGTCAGCTGTTTCTTAAAACGTTTAGTATCTGGAAACTGCTCAAATATCTTCTTATTTCATTCCTACACATGTGAAAAAAGGAAAAAAAAAAGAAAAAAAACTAGATGGGGAAGTGTTCTCATAGCATGAAAGGAACGGCCTGAATAATAATAGAAGTGATTATAAAAGAGGATATTGAATTCTTGGATGCCCTACAAACACCTACTTCATTCTGTGTGTTTATAAATACTCTGTAACCAAAGATCTGAAAGTATTTTATAATACTAGTCAGTTTCTCAGTATCCTGCTCAGGGAAGTGATATATTACCACAGCAACATGCAGTAGGTTTCATAGCCTGAGGCTAATTGCCCAGTATCACACAACGGCTAGTGGCAATGCTAAAAATAAATCCAGTTCAAGCCTGCTGCTCAGATTAAAACATAAGAAGAAGCAAGGAGCAACATATGTCCACTACTTGAAGAAGTATTGTATAGAGATAACTGTACCACTGCCCATCAGCCAGATTAGCATGGACAATGTGAATGATAACACGGTAGCAAATCCTTTGTTTTGTCCACTTTCTTCAGATATAGTGGTGCAGCGGCAGCTACGGTTCTGCATCCTCATATAGGAGGATGCGCAAGCCCATGAAGCTGTCCTCTAAAACAGACACACCCACTCAAAGATGCTGGAAAAAAAGGATTTAGCCATTCAGGCAGCACCCTTCAAAGGAAAGGCAGCATTCAGTCTACTTTAGGTCACACTGGCTTGTTTATTTCCAGATGTCTTTACAATCAAATAATACTAGATAATTAAAGTAGCTTCACTGTATGCAGCAAAGTTTATGTAACGAATGACCAGTTCTTTTTGCTGAAAGATGTGTCTGCTTCTCATGTGTAGTAAGGTTAAATACACTTTCTTAGCGAATCTGTCCCTGGAGTACTACTGTTGCGTTTCTTATTATTAAATGCTTCACAGCTAACACATTCATCTGCCCATTAAAAATGCTGCAATAATATTGGGACAATTAAAAGTAAGAAACGCTGGGATATTTCATACATTTTGGCCAGTGATAGTAATTTAATATTGTATTATTTAAAGATGGACACATGAAACACAGATTAAGTAGTGTGCACATATGTGAACAAAGGTCTGAAAACTGAAAGGTAAGTCTGTGAAAGATCATATAAAACTGTCATCAGAACATATGCTCCTTAAACACATTTGTGTTTCCTTTTCATCATTAACATGGCTCTAATGAGAAGGCAGCAAAATGGTACAATGGAGCCAACTGTGCAAAACATCCCCTTTTCATCGTGTCAACAGATGTTGCTTGTAGAAAGGTGAAGGGGGGATGATGTCAACCAAAAGGCATAGGGAAGCCAGTTGAGCTCCACATCTTGCCATCCTTCACTGATATAACACTCACAGTACAGTACAGCTTTTAGTACTTTGATTGCTGGACAAATGTCATGCTATAATATAGCACCTCCTGGCAGGAGATCTACCTTTTATGTGTTCTGTAGCATGAACTATGAATATGTATTAGCACAATCTGTTATGTGGCAAGGAATAGAAGGAGGTTCCAAGAGAGTTTACTTCAGCTGTAAACCTGAAAAGTAATATATAGGAAACATAGTGAGTGCGTGTATCTGTCTTCCAAATGGGCTGTTAAAAGTGACCTTGAAAATAAATTGAAACAGCCCTAATGGTATGTTTTAGATATCTGTATAGAAAACGACAACAGTTTCCTTTTTTTTAAATCCATTCTAATTGGTGAAGAAACTGTTCACAGACAAAAGTCCCATATAAATGAAATATAAAAATCCATTTAAATACTGACCCCTAGACGCTTCTTATTAAAATTTTCTCCTGATACTACAGATAGTAGTGAAATATTCAAAAGCATCTGTCTCCACAAGAAGTGAAACATACTTTAAATGTGGGGAACTTAAAACATTTTAGGAATAGGCTTCTGATGAGTTGCCTCTCTGAATTTCTGAGTTCTCTCATTTTGATACGGTCCACTTATCCTGCTGCCCAGAGGGGTTTCCATAAGGAACAAGTTAAGTTTCAGATGCACAAGAAGTGACGGCACTTTTTTACCACTTTACCAAATTGAGAGCTTAATAAAGTTTAAATATAAATATTTAGATTTTAAAAATTTAAATATTGCCATAGCTATTTTAATTGTACCCCTGTATGCAAAATTAAAATAGTATTTGTGAGCTCATTTAAAATTTTCATTGAACTTGAATTATATAATAAAGAAATCCAACATGGAAGTATCTCTGCTGAAGCTATGTCTGCTGAAAACCTTTACCTTGCACTAACTTATTTTTCTTCCCACAGTGGTCTCTAAATGCTATAATGCGTTGTGAGTAGCAATCACTGTGAGCAATATGCCAAGCGACCCCAGTACTCCAGCAGGCTGCTAGACCAGGAGTTCAACTTGGCAGTGGTACTGTCTTCAGGAGGCCTGAAGCAATGTAAGTCATGGTATTAAACTGACTTGTTTTGCTGATACAAACTCCACCTTGGGAAGGCAGGGGTGAGTCAAGTGCTGTTAAAACCACTTAGGTAGGGAAAAAATAAAGCATGTATTTAACAAGGACCATATTTGGTCCCTTAAATTGTTACTTTTGTTACCTCCTGAAATATAATGGGATCTATAGTGAACAGATTCTTTTCTCTAGGGACACACTCATGCCATCTGCTGGAAAGTTAATGGAATTTAGCAAGTATATTTTTATTATTATTTTTTCAGTAGCATTTTATTTGCTGGTTTTTAGGTGTGAAATTCTTGTGCTTATTCTTTTTGTAAAGATCTGTAGGTAAATGTAATATAGTTCAAAAGCACTTAAGTCAGGTGGTCTGGCAACTTTTTGTACATTATGAAGATATTAAATTGCCAGCATAATTTTGTACTGATTGTGTGATCTTAACCCTTTCAAGTGAAACACCAAATCAGTTTATCAGTTAATTAACACTCAAGTCTTCTTTTCTCCTCTTGACTGACTGCAAGTATGCTAATGTTATATGGTTGACAGTGACAACAAACAAATTAAAATTATACCTGTTCATGTGGAATACAGAAATATCAAAATAATTTGCAGATTATTCTAGATTGAAATTAGTGAGATAATTCCACATTTTCAGTTCCTTGGATAAGCCTCCAGATTGCATGCACCCCAGGTCAGCCTATAAATGCATCTTTAAACACCTCATCATTGCACATATCCAACATTGCTGCAGGTATAATAATCAAATAATGCAACAAAAATAATTATGGAATTAATCAATAATCAGTGAGGAAGCATTCTGCATCCTCAAAGGTTATGCAGAAAGCAGGACTGTCGTCTAGTTTTTACTATTAAATAATCTCCAGGTTCTTATCAATAGAATGTGATGAAAAGATACAGTATTTAAGCAACAAAATTCTTTTCTATATATTGCTCTGGTACTATTCCGTGGGTAAGACCAATTCTGAAGAAACAGAACTCATCTTGCATATGTGGTAGGCCAGGTTGGACAGAGCCTTGGGTGACATGGTTTAGTGTGAGGTGACCCTGCCCATGGCAGGGGGTTGAAACTAGATGATCTTAAGGTCCTTTCCAACCCTAACTATTCTATGACTTTGTGATTCTATGCAGTAAACTATTTTACTATTCACTCCTGGTGAAGATATAGCAAAGAAACTGCCAAGCACAGGGCTAAATAAACTACTTTGAAACTGCTGCCCATGTGGAGACTTGTGATATCCTTAGGCAAACTTACAAACGCCTTCAGTCTGCTGGGGTTGGACAACTCAGAAGAAGAGCAGACCATGAGCACAGTAGTTAGGAGCAGAGAGTAGGGTTAAGACAGTTATAGGGACAGGAAAATCAATTAACACCCCCCCCCCCAAACTATCAAACATGAAAGTAGAGCATTATATCTATACATTACTTCATGTTTTTTTCTTGCACAGAATTCCACCTTCCAGCTGTAGATGAATCTGCTGTACAGATGAATCAGCAACGGAAGCTTCTACCAGTAAGTATTGATTTATTTATTTATTTACAAGGGTCAGAGGGTATATAATTAGAGAGAGAAGGGGTAATACAGAGAAAGTGTGTTCTCATGATTGAGAAGATGGGGAAACTGGAGGAATAATTTTGTCTGTGCCACCACGAAGTCTGTATATGGTTCAAGGGGCTCACTTAAGAACAAAGGTCATCGTAGATGGTTATTAGGCAATCTGGTGGAGGGGATTTTTGTCATCATATTTTTCTATTTGTTTTTTCAAAAGGTGTCTGTGTTGTGGTGAGGGTTCGTCTGACTTTAATCCAGTAATGTATCAAGGTGGGCTAAGGTCGGGACTATGGAGGATCCTGCATAGTGAAGGCAGATGGGATGCCTTGTCGCTATTGTTCTATGGTCCTGTGCTAAGGGGTGTGGAAGGTTATAGTCCCTGGGATTCCCCTGAGGTAGTATGAACCACATATGAGCAAAGATTTTCGTCTGCAGAACTTGTAGAAGCAAGGCAAGATTTTTTTATTGAAGTTCTAACTCAGGCATAACATATGCACAGCATGTTTTTCATTTATTGGTTGCCCAAAGTGAGAGTATGCCAGGGCTGCAGAAATGCTCAAAGTTCATAAGGACACTTGTGTGCTAAGTACAGAAGGGCCTCATGCTGGAGAGGTGGGGGAAATATCTGAGGTTTCTTCATTTGGATGCACAAAATTTTAGTGAATGTTTTCCAAAAATGGCAATGCCAGTGTAATTGCACTCCTGTTTTCTGACCTGTGGCATGAGGATGATACAAAAGCTGCTGCAGCATTTATAGTGGATTATAGGGTGTTAGAGTAAACATGAGTATGACGTAAACATATCAGATGAAACTATTTGTTATCAAAATTAGTGCTAGGATCAGACTGGGTCTGATCTATGACCACATATTAAGCAAGAGAAAGATAAATACATGTTGAATAAACTGTGCCAGCTGAGCTTGATAATGTGTTGAAAAAATAGTATCCTGTCAAACAGTTATAAGGCATCTACACGATAAATATAAATCAAGACTGCGTGGGCAATTTTAATTTAAGAATTTCCTTAGATTTTCCTTCCCTTTAAAACCTTTTAAGTTCTGTTAATGTGTTTTGATTGAGTAAATTTATACAGTTCTTTTTTTTGTTTGTTTTGTTACTGCAGTGAAATATGAATTACAGTCAGACTGAATTGCACCATTCCACATCATTTCAGTTCAAAATCTATGTATGACCAGCTTTGAGTTTTCAGCACCCTCTAGAGTAAGCAGAAAGCTCTGATGGGCTTTCTTTTTCTCTTAGATCATAGAATAGTTAGGGTTGGAAAGCATCTTAGCTAAGGTAAAATACTCCTTTTTTTTTTGCCTTTTTATTTGACTTCCTGATACTCTGAACATTTAAAAATATTTATGGAATTATTGGAAAGAACTAAATTGAAACATATGAAGGTATTAAATAAGTGATCATATTATAAAAACAGTAATTAAAATCCTTTCACATGAAACCCCTATTTTAGGAAAAAAAGCCAACCAAACAACTTTTTACCTGGCAGCTAGGAATAATATTAATATTAAAGTGTAGATTTACAAGCCTGTGGCTGATGTTTTACCTACTGTAACTGCAAAAGGAGTCTGGAAGATGTGCAATAATATTTAGTAGTTGTATACTTATCACTCTTGCAAGAAAATCAAGTCATCATTTACATGAGGATGGCTCAGCTGCTCCGGTTTCCTCACTGATCCTCCACCATGCTGTTGGGTGACTAATTTTTTGCTTTACAATTTTATATCCTTTTACACTGGTGCTTTTCTTCATCGATCCTTGAGCTGCTCCTTAATCCTATAATGAGAGTCTCCCTTCTGTCTGCAATTGGCTTTTATTATTTTAGCATAATTTTAAAAATCCAGCGAATTTCTCAGTAGTCTGAGCCAAGTACACACAGCTGTCCTGTCTCAAAACTACCACACAGTCATCTGAGTCCACAGGTGAAGAACAAAATATCGTGAAAGTTCATTTCTGTTGTCCTCCTAACCCCAGCCATCTCTAATCATAGGTTTTGGCCCACCACACCACTTACTCCCAGCTGAGCTTTCAGAGGTAGGTCATGCAACTGCTGCTGAAAGGCAATACCATCTCAGCAGACGTACCAGCTTTCATGAATGTATAATTCAGGCAGTCTCCTGGACTGCATCTGGGCTGCTTTGTTAGTTATTGGTAAAACACTACAATTCAGATGAAGGAAGGACCCAAGAAACAGTAATACATCAATAACTCCTAACAAGGAGCTGAGGGTTGCACAAGTTACTGTCTGCTGTTTCTAACAATGTAAATTTTGTTTTCTAACAGTGACATTAACCTGCCAATAAAAAGACAGCTATTTCCCTATCAGTTTACACTGGTAATGCATTATCCATCATACAGAATTAGAGAGCTTAGCTGAAGGTCTTTTAGAGAAGTCTTGAGCAAAACACCACAGAAACTTGGTAGCTAAGATGCTGTTGATTCTTTCCAAGCAAAATAGAGCTCCATCTAAAAAAAGCAGTTTGACAGCTTTCTTTTAAAGACCAGGTTAATTTGTTTGAAAGAACATTGCGAAAAGAACTGAACATGGGCTTGACATCTGGAAGTTACACTTGATACATAGCTTTTTATTATTATCATTATTAATGTCATAATATGTTTGCTGCTGCAACCAAAAACTTTGTTAAACAGGTTGGTGATGGAGGAAGACTAGTTCCAGTGCCCAGTCTCAGTGAAGCTGATAGATATCAACCTCTGAGCCTTGTGATTAAGAAAAGAACATGTTTGCTTTCAAAAAAATCTAAATTTGCTTCAACACCTTTCACATTAAAAGACATCCTGCAAGGGGAGAAAGAAATTTCTGCAGGTAAGGTTTCTATCTTTCTTCAATGTGGAAAAATGCATGTTGTCTAGTAAATACAGAACAGTAGACATAGTTTAAGCTGTGCAGGTAGTATGATGGGTGTTTAATAAATGGGTAATAACCTTATCTTGCTTAGTCTTGTAATAAATAAATGAGGCAATTATACTAAAAAGCCTTGATATTTTCTGAACTATTATGAATCAAATTCAGTTAAGCCTTGTGTTTGTTCACAAATGACAACAGATTCCTGATGTGTTGATGCATGTTGATTAATTGCTACTTAAAAATTGTTTTAAATGTTAATGTTTCTTTGTATACTCACTTTTAACCATGTAAGAAAGGCCTCAGTTCTTCAGCTGCTCCATGCTAGTAGTTTCTGCTGATGGACTGGGCTCTGCACCAGCAGAAGCATTTAACAACAGCTATCTGACTGAAGTAATTGGATTTCCATAAGATGTTTTTCCATATTTGTAATCTTTTTTGTGTATTGTAAAAGCTTAACTGTGTGTAATTTACCTTTTTGATGCAATATCAGAAATTTCTGAGGTGATTCTAGGAGAATTAGGAGGTGCAAAATTGAACTATACTGCTCATACTTTCCTGTACCTTCCTTTGGAAAAGTAATTGTGTGTATGCTACGTTTTCTCAAAACAGTGGCATTACTTTATATTACCTACTTTATTTATTTTGAAAAAAGTCCATTTTGACAAAAGTGTTGATCCCATTAGTTGCATTAACTAAAAACACTACTAAGGCAAACCAGTATGAGCATAAGAAGATAGAAATACCGGTTGACCTCACAAAGGGGGGATTCCGGGATGCAAGCATAATGAAAAAAGTTGGAGAGGGACAAAGCTTATTAAAAAATCTGCAAAAAAGGTTGTAAAATCTCATTACAAAGTCTCACAAAACCTTACTAGTCTTTTCTGTAAAGGTTAGGTATCATGTGCAGAATGTATTGTCCTTTAATATAAGCAAAGAACTTTGCAATTGAATTTCTTTTTTATGCGACAAATACAAGCAGTTGCAATGTTTTTAGAATTATGAAAAATATATGAAACTTTTTTTGCTAAAATTAAAGACAAACAGAATTTATAGTAGGTGACTTCATAATGCCAGTTTATGCTCAGTTTCAGAGGACTAAAAAAACGAGAGTAAACCTCAGACTCTCAAATGAATTTGACTGCCTAATCCCTCTGTTCTATCTGCTCTATTAGTTTTAATTTGGCAACCAATACATTCTAGTATTCAATGGTTTTAAGGTTATTAAAAAAGCATTACAGAAATGCTTTGGCACCTACCCTTTGATTGCACACTAAACTGATGCAAACTTCCAAGTAAGTCAGAATTAATCTGTTGCATAGGCCCTGAAATTATCAGGCCTACTTGAAGCATGCGGTAAGTCATTCTCACTGGGACATGTGAGGTAAAAGTCAAAGTTAATATTACTGGCACACCCCTGTCTCAATCAGGTAAATGTCATCAGTAGTAATACCAATGAGGAGCACTGAATTTCACATCAAAACAGTTAATCAATGTAGGAACAGTACTCTTTATTCTCTTCTTGTGTAAAAAAAACCATGTTCAGACTTTTTATCACACAGTGGTTATCTTCTTTTACCCAGGTGTCTCATCTTACCAATTGCTCAACTATGAAGACAAATCAGATGTTTCGCTTAATGGTAGAAGAGGAAATCAGATAATGAATGATGTTGGTTTTGATGTTGCTGGATCAGATTCTGTTGCCTTTAAAGCTTCATTTGGCATTGTGACCAAACATGAGGTTGAAGTACCAACGTTACTTAAAGAACTTACTGCAAGGTTATATTATGTATTTTGTTTTCTGGTTCTGTAATTTTATTTCATACAATTAGGTTGAACCTCTAAAATGGTTAGGTTTTGGTTATTTCTAGTCAGTGAATAGCAGTCACCGTCTAATATTTTTTGAAGAGCCTCTGGTTGGATCACTGGGATTAGACACACAACCTGTACAATGCAGATTGCAGCATTTTTCTGCATTAATTTTTATCTGTATTACAGTGCACCTTCCAGGAAAAATATAAATCCAGAGAGGAAGAGTCCATCCAAGGTCCTTATCTATATTCTATGTTATTGAAAATTTGAAATTTACTTTGAATAACATTACCCAACTTAAGGTTTCAGAAATAAGATTTCTTTGCCTTTGTCTGATGAACTAAAGAGCTATATGCGTTATTGCCAATGGAGGTGCTTAAGGTTTTGTGAGGTTACTGCACACCCTTTTCTTTGAAAAGCAAAGTGGAATTACCTACTTGAATTTTAAATAAGCTTTTGTTGCTATTCTCTAAATGCAGTCTCCATTTTTCAAATATCCTTGTTGAGCTAAGGGCACTGAAAATGAACTTGGTGTTACTGTAGTGCTAGTGCAAATGTGAAACACATAGAAATATGGTGTGACTAATTCTAGGTGTAATTCTCTAGTTTGTATTTCAAAGATTATTCCTTGGCCATAACGTTACCCCAGTGAATCCCAGTGTTGCATCCCAGTAAATAATTTATTATGT